CAATACCCCCTCTAGCACCTCAACGAGAGGGCTGCACACATTAGAGGTGGCGTAAATCGGTTTCTCGCGACGTGTTACCCCTATATCTGATAGAAAATTGACGAGTTTTGATGAAAGATTTCTGCTTAAAAGTTGGTGTGTGTGTGCTGCTTATGCAGTAGACAAGGCATAAGTAGTTAGCGTCAGCGCTGATCTGTCAGCGCACACGCACGCCGGGAGGATAATCCACTCACGCGTGAGCCATCTTGGAGTGGCTGTAACTTCCTTCTCCCACCAGTGGTACATACGTACGCTGGTAAACAGGATTGTATTCGATAGAGATCTATCTACTGCTTAGCTGGGGGCTTGTATCTAGGTGCGGCTCCGGAGAAATAGCTCTTTCAGGTGATCTGAGCGTTGCCCCGTGCGCTTCGTCTGATCGCCTCTCAGATGGGCAGAATCCAGGTGTAGGCCTCCGCACCCGGATTCTGTGGTTGCGCACCGAGATCCCATGCTACAAAGGCTCAGCCCATCACATACGGGCCGACAATACCTAACCTCCTGTAGCCCCTAACTTAACAAATACCAACAAACCACAAAAAGCAAGACATCCCACCAAGACTGCACCGCCAGAAACACAATAACCCAATTTGGCTGTCGCCACTCCGCAAAGAACTGCCTATACCCCACCCAAATAAGCCCGTGCACTACCGCTAGCGCTAGCTTCCCTCCACTAGACACCCCAACCACGATCTGGCGCAGCAAACGCGGAACACGGGCCGCGTCATATGCGATTGATATCAGATAACCAGCCCAGAGGCTGAATGAGAGAACAAGGAAAAGAGAGGCGAAGTAGGGGAGTGTAGGGACTGTGTCAAGCGGTACCTATATGGATATTAGATCTATGCGCCAGTGCAAGCTGGTTATTTAGCTTACCTTAGGCGCGGCTGTCCCGCTACGAGTCGCCCACACGGTAGCTGTGATAGCAGTCCCTGGGAATACTATCATGCAGAGCACATCTAGGGTTGTTCGGCTTCGGAATTCTGCTCCGAGATGTGCCAAGGCTTCCTCCCTCTCGTAGGGCGCACGCTGCGTCGCGGAGTCGTAGGAGGGCAGGAGCGGTGTTCTCGACATTGAAAATGGCGGTTTATGGGGATTGATAGAAGTGTGACTGGTAGCGGAGGGGAGGCGTGCGCTGTTACATGGAGGCCTAACCCTAATAACTAATTACTTTAATATTGGTAGAATCCGATGGCACACCAACATTCCTGTAACACAGTATCGCTGCGGGATGCGCCTCTCGAGCATCCGCTGTCCTGTCATCACTCGATTCCGATAGAAGGGCGATTTCGGAGCTTGGTTGAACTAGTACCATCTATTGGCCTTGTGAGAAGAGCGGGTACTTTGCATCATGTCGCGCCGTCTCCCCAACTGTTTGAAATGTGACTTTGCCTCCATTCGCAAAGTCGAACTACTCGCGCCGTTGGCAATCATTTTAGCCAATGTCAGTAGAGTAGAAGGTTTGGAAATTTGGCTGACTTGACGAGCGACGAGGTGTTCACGGTTGGCATCATAGCCACCGCGATGATCATCCGCTCAAGGATAGAATATGGCTGCGAACTGTTTCATATCTGCGATGGCTACAAGAACAGCAGCGATTGTGTACTGAAGCGGCCGAAACCATGCCGCGAGGCTGGTGCGACCGTCCCGCGCCGCAGGCGAGACTAATCGCGATGGGACTCGATCCTGACCGTAAGCATTTTGAAGGATCTGTCGGCTTAGCGCACGATACGAGCTGTGCCGCATTGGCGCGACTGCTTGCTAGTAAGCAGGCATCACTGAGCCACGATCTTGGCGTGATGCCAGTCACGTGATCATCGCACCGCGAGGATCATTACCTTCTGACGTGGCGCCCAATGGTGTCCTTTCATGCGGCCATCCGTCAAAGAGAGATTCTCTCTTGTTACTTGTGACATCAGTCCATGGCCATAATACTTGTCCTCAACACACATACCCTTACCGATCACCAATTCAGCATCAGCAACAATGACTACTACTTGCTTCGATTGGACTCTCCTAGAGGACATTCGACCTGCTCTCCTTCAAAATGCTCTTGGCGTCAAGGGTAGCGAAATGACCACAGCTCATCTTCAAGAGCTTGACAGGACGGGATTGGAACTTGGAGCGAGCCCTTTTGCACGCGAGAATGCGAAAAACCTGGCGACTGGATATGGCGACCTTGTCGTGGTTCTTCTGGAGCCTACCGACAAAGCCGAATCATATTGCTATGATGTAATGAAGGCTGCTTCACCGACGCTTCGACTCGTAGACGAAACATTGGAAATGGCCTTCGCAGGTCAGCGCAATGTCGAGAACACAATCTTACTAGATCGAAGGCCCTTTCGCAGCGCCAAAATCCAGCGCTGTGAAGATGGAGAGACCCGGGAACAAAACAATCAGAGAGCCTACCAGGGGTTTGAAGCGGTAATCGCAATTTTACGTCCTAAGGTCATTGTTGTATGTCAATGCCGAGATACAGTACCTGATGGGCAGCTTTCGGATCAGTGGTCATCTTCAATCAGCAAAAGTGGAGACTACGACATCGTACCACTCGGCAACGGACACAGATGCTTCCGCATTTATTCATTTCACCCAATGCATTTCTATTACATTAACGATGAAGAGAAGCTCCTACAGCGAGTACTTTCAGAATACTTGTATAACGCAACGTTTGTAGTCGCGGCAAATCTCTTAGCTGGCCGTGAGATTTCTGGATTCGGATTATCAAATCTCAGAAACTGTGCCCGACACGGACCAATCGGTAAATTCTCTGAAGTCGGCGTTACATTGACTTATCAATGGGCGAACGAAGAGAGTCGTTGTTCAGACGAGCTATGGGCATTGATGAAAGATGTGGGTATGCTTCAGTAATGCTAGCTTCAGTTCTGCTGACTGTTTCAGGGCTATCGTCGCGCGCGAGTCCCATATGAGACGATTCTCGCAGAGTATCGTGCAGACCTTCTAGATGGCCAAATCGATGGAACCAATCTGGACGGGCCGAAAGAAGACGTACTCACAAGATATCGCTCCAGGATTCCACATCTTCCTACTACTCCGCTACAATTTGCTACCTAGTTAGATAGATGGATTTTTGAGGCTCGGAACAACAAGCTGGAGAAGCAAGTAACGGATACTTTACACATCCAGCTGTTGCGGTGTCACTAGCTAGAAATACCATTCTCCTGTCGAAGGTGCAAAAAGGTGTATTACTGATAAAGTGGTGGCTGCTGAGATTTGTCCCCAAGTTTTTGAGATTTGTCCCCAACCGAAGTACCGAAATGCTTTACATCCGCACAACTCAACGCTGTCAAGAGCGCAATTAAACATTTTGACATACAAATTATTTGAAAGCATCGAAAATCCTTTCTGTGTGTTTATAGCCTAAAACAAGCCTATATTGTGGTTTGGTTGCACGTTAATGTTAGTGATATTTTTGAGAAAATCGTCGACTTCAACTTCATCTACCTCATTCCTATGGCTATTGAAACTCACAACATTTAGATGGAGGATGCTTTGAAGTATGTTGGTTACATTTCTGGCTTTGAAAATGAAAATCACACTTGAGGTTGCGGTAAAGTTGCATTGCAAAGCACAAAGCCTGCCATTTTCGGTACTTCGGTTGGGGACAAATCACGTCAGCCTTTCGCGAAAGGACTTTGCGTGCTGACACAGCAGTGGAGGCCAAGATCAGCGTGGTAAGCGTACAAGTCGATGGCAGTCAACGCTACTTGGGTCGCACCGCTCCACCCAGCATCACGTCAGTTGAGGGTTTCGCAGGTCGTGTCCATATATAGCCATATGCATGTTGTGCGGTGTAACAAGCCAGCTGACTCTGTTACGTGTCTAACTATATGCAGTTGGGAGGGTTTGACGAACGCATACGACTCTACATGATCGTCACAACAAGAACGCGCGACACTAACGTAAAGCGTGTATTGCGACATCTCATGTTCGCAAATAATCGAACACGGCTTAGCGCAACAACAATGATTCAATTTTCCCTGACAACTATGCATTGGCACACCTCATGGCATCTTTCGATTGGTCTACAGCCCCGCAGCATGCATGATAGTACCTAAAGCCACAAATCTAGTGACTCCTAATACTCAGGCAAGGGGGTCATGTGAACAACACAATCAAAAGCTGGATTGGCGGTATCAGTGAGCAAGTAAATACCCTGCAAAATATATGAAAGGACAAAGCCCTTTTAATGCATCGACCCATTGAATGATAACACAGCATTCGGACGCAGATGAAATCTGAAGTGCGTTTTGCATTCCAGTTTGTAGCAAGAACAGCTGAATGCTTCGCTATATATTAAATAACATACTTTATGGATATCACACTCATTGAACGCGCTAATAATAAGTAGTTAACATGTTTTGTCTCATCACTGAGGCTCATGGAACCTCGCATACCATCTAAAAGAGTTAGAGCGCGAAACACCCTGCCGTTATCGATGACACCACTAGGGTCGTGCTGACTATAGCACGTGGTGTCTTTCGATTTAGACAATAGTAACCCTTCGGGCCGTATGCAAGAAGTGTGAGAGAATACACCTAGGGTTTTGCAACTCTCACTCAAAGAATTTATAGCTGGATGGAAAATCTTTTTGAACCAAGGGGCTGGCTTGCCAAAATGAATGTGTGAATTGTAGAGCGAATAGTCAGGTAAGATACGAAAGAGACCATGCTACTTCGTTACAAATAAACAGTAAACTCCCCTTTGCCAGAAAGATCCATTATTCAAGAGAACAAGTGTGACTCGCCACATATGAAATCCAAAATGAAAACGTTACTATGAGCAGACGCCATGGCAGATTGGATCGGTTACGGTATCGGAACAGCAGCTGCATAACCAATATTCGTTCTCAGGCTCATCTTCTGTATAGAGAAAAGATCATTCAGAGTCATACGTCTATTTCTTTCCTTTTTTCTTATTCTTCTTCCCATACAAAACTTTCCCTGACGAAGAAGCCCATGAGTCAGACGTCGACTCACTCATAGGCCGAGCGAAATCCTCATCCTCGGGAGACTCAGATTCTCGTTCTGATACTGCTTCGTTTTCTGTTGGCAAGGTCCGCTCAACATGAGCTTTTTCATGAGATATCCCAGCTTCTCCTGGTCCATCGTTGGTGACATTTCCGTGAGGTTCTGTGCGAAGAAGGTTCAAAGGAAGTTCTGACAAAGAATATCTAGACCTATGTCGGAGGGTCGGTGTATTCGGTGTATCTATACACGGCCACATTTTAGTTTATACTTACTCTACATATAACATCTGCTGACAACATGGTTTGATGCTTACATTGTAGCGTTTCCACCATGAATCTTTTACATGTCTCTAACCCCTGAACTAGTACGCCCAGTTGTGTTTCCAACTGGCTGCGCTTTGCTCGGCTCTCCTTGGACTCGCCTGCGATATCTGTCACCACATCAGAGGCAAGAGAGGCAACTCTGATCGGCGAAACGATATCGCTGAGCTTAGCGATGATATCTTTTTCTACAGCTTCAACAGCAATGTCGTCCACGAAGCGTTTAAGGGCGACCTGATGGTAAAGGAAATATGTTAGCATACAGCTTTACGAGAGGGGACTCAATGAGATTCTGTGGATAACTACTTACTTTGTAGTACGCCTGCATGCAGTCCAGCGCTTCAGAGCACGCATACTGATTCAAATCAGGGTTTGTATGCGATACGAGTGCATTGAGCAACGGCCGGTAGTCCATCTCTATGTATCGAGACTGCCCAGATGGGTGAAGTGAGCTAACGCCGAAGACGTCTTTGATGATGCGTGTGAGTTCTGATGTAGTTCTTTCCTTTCGAACTTGTTGTACCGTCTCTGTGAAGTAGTGATTGTAGGTGATGGGATGTCCGCGCTGATGTGAAGCAAGTAGGTCTGCTGCCTTGCTTTTCACATTTTTCGAAATCCTCTCGAGAGCTGGTTCAACTAGGGTTTGAAATAGTGCACCACATGTAGAAGTGTCTGAAACGTAGGAGGTGAGGTGTTTGAGGAAGATCCTCACCGCACTCATAATTTGGACGATGTGAGCTCTAGCAAGTTCTTCCCAGGGTGATGACTGCTCGAAGAAGAGGTCCGATACTACCATGGGGTTGAAGGTGCCGGGGAATTCGCGGCCGCGGGTACGGTTCATGAGGGACTCGATACGCTTGAGGAACCCGGACCGGCTAAGGATATTTTCCTTCGGTCTACCAACTTGTAGAAGACTTGCATCAGAAGAGTCTGTGACGACAAAGTGATGTCCCTCGCGCGTCATTGTCTCTGGAAAAAGACTGATTGAGGTTCTGTACGACGGCACGAATGCGTTTCTGGTAGCCAGCGTCAGTCTTCGCGTCGCCAAAGAAGTCATCGTTGTAGGTTCCGTCGACGGCAGCTTTAGTGAGGGCTTGGCATGCTTGGCTGAGAGTGATTAGATATTGGCGTTGTTCTTCGATACTAGCCCGAGGCTGGCCTAGCTTTCCGAGTCCAGTGCGACAAGCAGCAGATTTGAGTTCGATCTCTTCCACAAGACTGGGGAGTTCCGCTGCGATCTGGACAAGAAGTACTTTGCTCAGTCGCTCTCTCAACGGCACGATGCCAAGGATGGATTCGGGCAGCGTGGGCCATATGCCTTGAGAAAAGAACTTACTTTCCTCCTCGTCACGATTTGAACGTGCCCCAGATCCAGTTTCCGAATCCATGTTCCTGAGACAATGCCATCCAAGACGAAACTCCACGTCAGGGTTCTTAGCGAGCGAGATGTACATGGCTTCGCTGTCAGATCCTGGAACCAGAGTGTCAGGCTTGGTGATCACACCAAGCGTGCGGGTTCCGGTTTTGTCGGCAGTTCGGGCGAGTTTTAGCACAATCTGGTTGGCGTAATCGTTCTTTGCAGATACAACCGTAAGGATAATGCTCCTGGGCTCTTTCATGTACGACTTGACAACATCTTGTACGAGTTCGATATCAGCTGCAGATTGCTGCTTTGTCTCTGAATGGAAAGGCCCGGCAAGTCTACGATCGTAAGATGCGGTCGGTCAGGACCCGACACTTCAACCCGTAAGAGATCCTTCGAAAAAGCTCGACCCAGACTACCAATGGCCATGGCCGATTTGGCATTCTCGATCAATGCTGGGAGTGCAGTGAAGCTGTCGAGCGTCTCATGGAAACTGCTAAGAGATTCACGCTCCACTCTGCTACGCGAGCGATCTGGAACGATGGAGACGCTGACGCCTATTTTCAACGTCTTTCGTAAGACTAATTCGGTTGGAAAACGTGTGCATAAGTTGCTCTTGACCGGAAAAGAGACACCGGAGATAGCTTCCAGAACAGAGCTTTTACCGGAAGACTGGTCCCCGCAAACGATGATCTGTGGTAGAGAGACATAATGGTCGATTCCCTGAGAGCGTAGAAGATCTACAGAGTCCAGCAAGTCTAGTTGATCTTTTGAGCAGAGTTCATGCACGACACGGGTGTCGAATTCCCTGATAACCATTGTGAATGTGGATGAAGATCTCGTTCGATGCGCACTCTATGTATATGCTGGGTGAATTGAGGAAATGGTAACTAGAAGATTTGGTCTTAGGGCACAATCCAACATAGAAAACTATTGAACCTCGAAGGTCGAAATTATAGGAAGCTGACAGCCATTAGACCCACCTTCTTAGCACAGAGTTGGAGCAGAGCCCCCGCCTCTCGTGTCTCCACAAGAGCATAGATTAGCCTTCACCGCCATGGTCAGGTCTGCTGTCCCCCAGCCTATGGCCGACGTTCTGCATGTTTGGTCGATGTGTATTAGTCTGGTAAGGGAGCTGCAAGCTGAACGCTAGTTTCCATCTTTTGTTTGCTTTACGGACATCTTTTCTGTGCTAGGCTATGCAGCTCAGCCATCGAGACAGCTGGTGACACACCAGATATGAGCTTATCTGCATTCCGCACATGCATCTGAGCCACTAGAATCGGCGGATCTTTCGATTCAACCTATGAATCGGGCATTCAATAGCTCTCCCACGAATCGCAAGCCAACTCCGGCATCTGCCCACGGCTATCCGGTAAAGCCATACAACCAGCACCGTAAACACTTGACACCACCTTCTAGCTTTTGCGCCAATCCTTTCCCAACCTCTGTGTTTGCATAGATATTGCTAGGTGCTTGATGATATATATCCACAAAAGTCATGCAATTTTACCTTTCACGTAGTGAAGAGCCTGATTCTCATCAGGTCATCCTCTCGAGGTGTATGCACACAGGCGTCTTATATTAACTCCATAGCTGCCTCCCATAGAATTTGATGGTGAAAGAGACATTAATTGTTTGACACGCCAGGAAAATGAAAGTGTAAATCTTGCCATCTTGATATCACGCTACCAAGACGATTACCAGATACCAAGATCAGCCTTCCGTTTATGTAAGTATGTAAGCAGCAAATGCGGGCTATGAGTGGCCGTAACTTGCGCTAGAGCCTGAATACGTGGGGGAAGCTGAAGCGCTTATCATTTTTCTTTGATTTTCTTTTCTTTTTATGAAGCAGCTCCTGATATGTAGTTACTGCAGCCTTGGGCATTGAATTGGCGAGTTGCCCAAATGATGCGGTCTGCAGCTTTAGATAAGAGCGATTCAACCGTGGTCTGACCGGTGAAGATTGCATTTAGCTAGGGAGCGAGGAGTGTAAGGATGTGGAAATTAAGTTGCAGCAAGACGGAATGAAGAAAGCAGCGAGCTATTGTCGAATAGAACATGACAGGGCCTCTGTACTCTGAATTGAAATGCGGGTTGGGTTGTCGTTATAGATCATTTTCATCGCTAGTGGTCGAGACTCATTGACTATACGGCTATGTAACCAGGCGTATAGAACCGTGAGAAACTCTCTGTAAATACTAACCTACAACAGAACCGAAGTGTTTCTTGTATGCTAGGTTAGAGAGCATCACATGTGCCTTGTCATGCAGAGGAAGTCTTCGCAACAGTCCTAGCGCATACATGCATGACGTGGAGGCGCTAATGTAGGCGCAGTAACAGCCCACCATCATGCACGCACAACGATGCCTTCATATCATACTTGAAAAAAGCACCTTCTTTACCAGATAAGACGGCGGGAAGGCCCACAAAAACCCAGTCTACACGCAGAAAGCTGTTTAGCGTCGTGTATTGCCACACAACACGTAACGCAAAATCGTTACGTACATACTTATCGCACGAAGGACTTCTTTGTGGAAGGCTGAGACTCTCTTGCAGTGGCAATTAAATGTATACTTCTACGATTGGTCAGTATTGGTGGGGTAGTAGCCATTGCGCATGGCAAGCTAGCCCGCATCGGTAGATCACGATACAATCGAGCCATAACATCCCGAACAATTATTAGAGTCACTCATGGCAGCGAAGCCAGCTAACATGTGGTTAGTACAACGCCATTACCAGGGAGAACATTTAGCAGTTTAAATGGACAAACTATAAAGCTTGTTTCTCGACTTTACTGGTGGAACCAGCAGTGATATCAACCTTTTTCGATACAAACAGGTGTTTGATAACTTCAATTGCTTCTCGCATGCAAAGCAAGCGAACAGGGCAGCATCATCTTACGTCAGCTTAGTACGTGGTTTTTGTTGCAACATACATAGCGCGCACTGATTCTCTACTACAAGGCTTAGGAAAGAGAAAAGGACGGAACAGGGAATATAGCGGAAGATAAATACCATATATTCTGCCCTTTTACACAAGCTCTGCTGTCAACGATGCTTCATCTCCCTACCCGTGGATCCGTAGAGGCTAGAACACGCTATGATATTTGAATACAGCGCGCCAAGAGTACTTGTATATCACTCTTTTGCTCGCTGTTACATTACTTAGCCTCCGTATGTTGTCGTGCTAGTTTATAATAAGCCAAAATTTTCAATGCTGGTGTGAAAGTATAGGTGATTTTGCTTTATTATCTTGTTGTTTTCTTCCAACGTCTGCTGTGGCAAGCAAACCCAGGCCGTCCTGCTGCGCGAGATACAAGATCCTTATCTCATCACGATCTAGAAATGCAGGCTGTAATTTAGTTCGAAAAGTGACACGCGAGAGTCGTGAGGCAAAATGCGGGGCTTGCAGCATGTGCGGGCTAAGGGAAGGATCTCAATGCACTCGGGTTTCACGTTACTCCTTGCCGGATCGCTCTGCACCCGACTCGCTGTAGTCGTATTAGAGAGCAAAATTGCTTATTCAGATTGCAGGATGAAAAGACCTGAAAAGATAGAAGAGCGGAAAGGAGGAGCATATGTAAGCTGAGATGCTAGGCCGAGAAGCGAGCCTGATAACTGGCTGCATCTACGGGTACTCTACGGGTACGGCTGTACTAGGCGGCGTTGCAGTGAAAGCTGAAGAACATCACTGCCACTTAATAATGCATTTTTTTCCTTCTCCCCTCAGACCTTCTACAAATAATCATATGACTGGTCTGAAGCCGAGAGAGCTCATGCGAAGACTGGAAAACACATATGGTAGCAGGACTGGAATGGCATAACGCTATCGAGCAACCAGCCACATTGGTGTTACGAGAGCTGCAGGACTGAGATTAGGCGCATGTCGCCTTTGTTGAATAATCATTGATAAACTCGGAAATATGGCAGAGACATCGCATCTCAATTGTTGCTTGGCGCAATCAAACTAAGCTAGTAGGATTGAATGTCAGCATAGGTTCAACTCGAAGGGGTCCGGGCGTTTTATTTCGCTGTTGTCCATATATACCTGAGTATTGTCTTCAAGGACGTTATCATTCTTTCTTGTCCTTATGAAGTATCAACAACGAATATTATGTAGTCAGCATAGCCTTTTAGCTTCCATTGTGTCTCTGCGTTTCGTACATAATGAACTTGACAATTGGTGTCATACAACAAAAAGCTGAATGTTCACGCCTTCGTGCAAGGGTCAGCTTGTCAGCCCCACTGGAAAGCATACTAGAGGATGATAGGATAATAAAATACGTGCTATTGCATGAATGTGCAAAGATCCCAGTAAAGCGGAACTGTCAGCAGACTCGATGCATCCTGCACTCCTGCACCTCGCATCGCGAACCACCCAGTTCTATATGGCACGGCCTAGCCTTATGGAAACAAGTATAGTTTCTGTGGATCCGAATCTAAGGACGTGGCGCTATCTGATTTGTACAGCTCAATGTGTCACTAGGTCGTCTGCCTCCACACGAAACAATTACTCAGCTGCGTTAAGTCTGTAGGTAATTACAGTTTGACTCATATGTTGGCTGAGTACCCAGCTTTTCGTAATGACTTGCCATAAAGTTCACCCTCTACTAGCAGCTAAATTCTGAGTATCCCCCATTTCGCCATGTCCGTGTTCATGGAAGTGTTTAACCACCTTGTTTTACCACCGCAGCTTCCTGGAAAACAGGAAACCAACATTGAAAGCATTGGTGATGCCATTATTGTCCGACTTATCCAGGCTACATCTACACTCAGTCAACTCGCTAGTCAGGAACAGACACCTCCCTGGTATGCGATTCGTCAATACCTTCGCCGCTGCCAATGTCTTCATATAAATGGTCGGCTCGAGAAGCGGACACTGATCTCAACATTTTGCAACTTCAATCGGGAGCAACCACTTCTGCTGCATATCGCAGAACAAAACACCGCGCTTATCGTTCGGTACAATTCCAGGTATGGCTGATGGTTATGGGTGTCGATACAATATGAATCCTGTAGCTGACTAGCCATATGGTATTATTATTATTATTGTTCCATTAGAGTCTAGTGAGCTCGAGGCTATGTAAGACTTTG